CGTCAATTATAAAAAAAAAAAAAATTTATTACGGAATTACTGATATCCTGCCACAAACTAACTCAACAAGTTCCTATAGAAATAGAAATAGAAATAGAAATAGAAATAGAAATAGAAATAGAAATAGAAATAGAAATAGAAATAGAAATAGAAATAGAAATAGAAATAGAAATAGAAATAGAAATAGAAATAGAAATAGAAATAGAAATAGAAATAGAAATAGAAATAGAAATAGAAATAGAAATAGAAATAGAAATAGAAATAGAAATAGAAATAGAAATAGAAATAGAAATAGAAATAGAAATAGAAATAGAAATAGAAATAGAAATAGAAATAGAAATAGAAATAGAAATAGAAATAGAAATAGAAATAGAAATAGAAATAGAAATAGAAATAGAAATAGAAATAGAAATAGAAATAGAAATAGAAATAGAAATAGAAATAGAAATAGAAATAGAAATAGAAATAGAAATAGAAATAGAAATAGAAATAGAAATAGAAATAGAAATAGAAATAGAAATAGAAATAGAAATAGAAATAGAAATAGAAATAGAAATAGAAATAGAAATAGAAATAGAAATAGAAATAGAAATAGAAATAGAAATAGAAATAGAAATAGAAATAGAAATAGAAATAGAAATAGAAATAGAAATAGAAATAGAAATAGAAATAGAAATAGAAATAGAAATAGAAATAGAAATAGAAATAGAAATAGAAATAGAAATAGAAATAGAAATAGAAATAGAAATAGAAATAGAAATAGAAATAGAAATAGAAATAGAAATAGAAATAGAAATAGAAATAGAAATAGAAATAGAAATAGAAATAGAAATAGAAATAGAAATAGAAATAGAAATAGAAATAGAAATAGAAATAGAAATAGAAATAGAAATAGAAATAGAAATAGAAATAGAAATAGAAATAGAAATAGAAATAGAAATAGAAATAGAAATAGAAATAGAAATAGAAATAGAAATAGAAATAGAAATAGAAATAGAAATAGAAATAGAAATAGAAATAGAAATAGAAATAGAAATAGAAATAGAAATAGAAATAGAAATAGAAATAGAAATAGAAATAGAAATAGAAATAGAAATAGAAATAGAAATAGAAATAGTAATAGAAATAGAAATAGAAATAGAAATAGAAATACTTTATTTCTTAAAATGACATACATGTGTTGAAAGTATATGTGAGTCATAAAAATGTTACAAAGATCTTAATTAAAATTGCTCATCTTGGAGGTATTCATCAACTGTATAGTAAGCTTTACCAATGAGAAGTTCTACAATTTTATGTTTAAACGCTCTAATGGTAAGTGATTTGAAGACATTCGGTAGTTTGTTGTACAGTGTAGCTGCCATATAGGACAATGCTTCTCCAAGTAGGTTGTACGATGACGTGGAAGAATAATGAGGTAATTTTTTTGCCTGGTTTCCGCATTACTGAAATTGAATTGATTTTTATTTTTATGTACATATGAAAGTTGTTGAAAAATATATAAAGGAACCGTTAGTATTCTCAGTCGTATAAAATTATTTTTACGTGTATCATATCGACTAATTTTGCATATTATCCTCATTGCTCTCTTTTGAATTCGGAAAGTAGATATCCAGTCGGTGGAATATCCCTAGCAAAATGTACCATAGGAAATTTTAGAGTGGAAAGAAGCATAGTATAACATTTTCAGAATAGGGAGACCCATGCCTTTGTTCATCATTGCTCTCAGAGAATAGCAACTCGTGTTGAGTTTCCTATTCAGAATGGAAATGTGCTTTTTCCAATTCAATTTATTGTCAAGAATGAAACCAAGCGATTTTATGTCTTCTGTATATTTAACGTTGAACTTTGCTGTATCAAAATGAAACTGTTGTCTTGGACTGAAAAAAATACAAAGAGTTTTTTCAAAATTGATGTTGATTTTGTTGTAGGTACACCAGTTATTTATATCAGTTACACATTGATCAACACAGTGAAGTAAACTTTTTTCCTTTTCTGACCGAACAAGGCACAATGTATCGTCAGCGAATAATATTGTAGAACTATTATTTATGCACGATGGAAGATCATTAATGTATAGCAAAAACTGTAATGGTCCAAGGATAGACCCTTGTGGCACACCATTGCTGACTTTGCCCCATGCGGATGTTGATGGTTCATTGAGATTGTCAAAATTTGTTATGATAGTTCTTTGCTGTCTATCTTGCAGGTATGTATTGAACCACTGAAGCGAAATACCTCGAACTCCATAAAACTCCAGTTTCAAAAGCAAAATCTCAAAATTTACGCTATCAAAAGCTTTGGAGGAGTCACATGAAATACCCACAGTGGGAATATGTTTATCAAAATTTTCTGTTATTGACGTGGTAATACTAGGCATCGCAGATGCTTTAGATTTTCCACATAAAAATCCATGTTGAGCTTCACTAATAATTTTTTCATGGATCAAAAAAGTCAACAGTCTTTTATGCATAAGCTCTTCAAGTATTTTGGATATAGTAATCAAAAGTGAAATAGGACGGTAGTTATTTAAATCAGTAGATATACCTTTTTTAAATAGTGGTATTACATGTGACCTCTTCAAGGCTATAGGGAAAATACCTTGTTGTGAAGATTGATTAAATAAAATATCTAGTTCATTCACTAGACACCTAAAGATATTTTTCATTAGTTTTGGCGACAATTTATCATAACCAGATGAGTTTTTATTTGCAAGGTTTTAAGCTATTGCCATTATTTCGTTTGGATCTGTGGGTTTGCTAAAAAAGGATTTGCTATTTGGTTCAAAAGAACAAAGTTTCAAAAATCGTTCAACTGTGTCTGAGTCACTAGTTGTCATGTTCGAGTGGGGTACAACGTTTAGGAAAAAATCATTGAATTTCTGTGCAACGATATCAGAGTCGGTTATCAGTTCGCCGTCTTTTTCTATACTGAGTTGTTTGTTTCTCAAGAGATTGTTATTGTTGATCCTTTTTTCATTATTTATGAGTTGCCAAGCTGTTTTTGACTTATTATCACTTGAAAGTAATTTATTTTCCACGTTTATGGTCTTAGCACGTCTTATCACTTTTTTCAAAACTGAACAATATTTTTTTATGTAACATTCAAGAACGTCGTTTTTGAAATTGTTTGTTAGTTCAAGAAGTTGCCTTTTATGTCGACAAAATGTTTTTATTCCAGTGCTGATCCATTCTTTACTTCGATTGATTTTAATTTTTTTCAATAGAAAACAAATTTCAAATTTTTTTTAAATAATTTCAATAAATAATTCGAACTTAGTTTCTATGTCATATGGGCAATTTTTGTATTTATCACTGTTCAAGCCCTCCGTAATTCTATCTGTGAACCATTTCAAGTTATATTCAGAATATAGACGCATATAGGAAAATTCATTCACTGTTGCTGTCCTATTAATCTCAATATTTATCGCAATTTCTTGCAGATAATGATCCGATAATCCGATGTTCTCAACTCGACTGTCATATTAAGAATATACAGTATCCGTAATGAAAATATTATCGATACAAGTACTATATGATTGAACACGCGTGGGCTCAAAAATGATATTTATCCTGTACATTCATAATATGATTTTTCATAATTATTATATAGGGTGAGTTGTTCTCACATTAACTCAAGAAAGGAGAGAAATAATATAGGGGTTTGGGTACAATTCATGTTCCAAATTTTAACCCAATCGGGTCATCCCTGTATTTAATATGACGAATTGTATATCAGTTACGAAGCGGTTTTGGACATTTGTGAATCATATTGGTAGTCCCTATAACCCCATAAGTTTTGTCGGTTCTATCTCCGGACACCCTGTAAGTATATCATATGAGATCATTGTCCTACTTGAGATGGTATTGTTTACATATTCTGTGTGTTTTGAGTAAATTTCATTCTTGCTATTTGATCGTGTTTATTGGGTTGATTCTAAAATGTTATCACAGAAATAACGAATATCATTGTTGAATCATCATCACATCGTATATGTGATTGAAATAATACTGTCTTACGGACAGTTTTACAGCTACAAAGAAGCCTTTCATCAAACCTGTGACATTCTGTAGAATATCGAAATCACCCAATCATTACAACTATCGATAAATTGGAGGAAAGCTGATATATTCGCAATGGCAATGTACAATCTCAGCACACAAACTGACCAAACAATGTGCTGACCTGTCTACTGACGCATTTTCACACTTCTTTGAGATCTTGACTCAGTTTGTGCCATCACAAGGAAAGGAGATATCGTCCTTGCATTCACTATATCATAAGGGTGCATCAATTTATAATTATTTACAATATAAAATGACTAAAACCTGCTAGCTGCAGCCCCAGGGAAACCCTTTTGGAACCAATATAAAGAAAGTAACATTTCAACACACAGAAAATTCAACTCACAAGAATTCCAATTCTGCCATGCGTAGAATAATGTTTGCCAATTTTGAATATCGAAAGATTTTTCATAGCACTACAGATTTATTGTGAACCTGTAAAACTCTCAATAGTTACCTATACTTCATATTATATGATGCTTTACTACAAAGATAGAAAATTGTCATGATCCTATGTGTTAGATTTTTTGTATTCAAATCAAGTAGGTACTCATTTTCCATGAGATTTTTAGTGAACAATATCCGTCGCTCTCAAATTCCAGAGGAATGCGAACTATAATTATTTCTGGAATATCGGTTGTCAAATGAGATATATAACAATCTCACATAATACATCGTCTCTTCGTGAGAGAAGCCAAAAAACTGTTCCCTATATCAACTTGTCTTGCCATTATTTGGTTTTGTGGCATGCCCCATGTACTTCGTATCTTACGAAAATTCCAAATTCACATGATGAATAACAGTTCGCATAATAGTAAAGAAAAGGGAAAACCTCAGTCATGTTAGATTTGGAAGCAGAATAAGTGTAGGTACTGTACAAAGTCATCAATTATTCAATTATGAAATCTCTACATCTAGTATCGTATATCAATTAATCTACAGGGTCCTGCAGGAAGATATGGAAGATTCGAAAGTGTCGCCAAGTATGGTGGATATAAACCTCATGTTTTCGGAGTAGGTAGTATCTACTGGACCCGGGCTACTATTTTGATCACCATGCAGCCCTGGCAAACATACTCGTTATACTCAATCAACCGTGACTAAAATGGCAACTCCTGTTGAGTAGATACTACATATTCCAAGAACATATAGTTTATATCCACCATACTTCTCACCACTTCGAAATCCGCCGGACCCTGTATTTATGAATAATAAACATAAAAACAGGTTATGACAAATATTTTGTCACGTGATTTTCACTAAGGAAGAACAATCATCTAGAGAACTGTTGAATTGATGATCATCTGATTAAACTCACTTTGGATATTGAAAAAGTGTAGTCAATAAAACCAAATTCTCACTTACCTCCTCTTACTTCACAAATGAGATTCACGTCACTTCCTTCGTTGTAGGGTCCTACTAAATTCGATTTTTCTATCCGGTGGTCATCGTAGATGAAGATTTTTGTAGGTGGTACTGTAAAATAAAAAATATATAAGAACGCGATTCAGAATTCAGATACAGCGATTCGAGATATATTAATAAGTCATAGCGAAAATTTGCAAATCAATCAATCAAATTCAGTGACAGTCTAACAGAAAGAGACAATAACATGCCTTCATATATGAAATGGTTTATGAAAGCAATGTAATTATGGAAAACTAACAGGGGTATTTGCACTGCAGAGCGAAGATTGCACTGCCAAAACGAATAAATTTCAGATAGACATCAAAGAGTGGAAGAAATGTGTTTTGGTGAGTGCTCCATAAAATCTATCGAGCATTTCTCTATTCGTGGAATATTTCAATGAATTACATTCTTGCATGAAAATGACCTGATAATTCTGCATTCAAGCGTGTTTTCTTATACAAATTGCATTCGTTTATTTTTATACTTTGTAAAAGAGCCCTCTTCCTACGGACTCGGGCTCGTTCCCCAAAATATGGGAATAAACTCTTGCAATTTTTAGATTACATGCTTCCTGGAAGAATTGTCGTTTATTTCCATGCACTCGTGCAATTATAACCGGAAATTTCACAACAGTAACTTTCAACCAAACAAGTTGTGTTTTTTTATTAATCACAATAGCAACGTATGTTTTTCAGTGAAACAATTGCTCTCTTTGATATTCAACAATAACTCAATTTTCAGACGAAAAAACAAAACTTGTTGTGGATTTCTCTTACCGAATACCAGACTAGGTTGAATCGGGGGTTCAACTCGGAATCACTTTTTTAATATTCATGAGCCCGGAAATAATTCAACCTCTAGTGTCAGGTGATATACTGGTACAATGAACAGTTCATTGTACCAGTTTATCACCTGACGAAGCTACTGTGTTAGCGAAACATGTTTACACATTCACATTTATCAACTGTAATTTGAAAGAAATAAAATCAGCAGTATTCAATGTTGAATGTATTTTATAGTATCTCTGTGTAGTTTTTAAGTTTTGTTTTCTAAGTTAGCTCTAAGTCTTTGTGTTTGAAGCACTATCTCTTATATGTAAATACTCCTGGCTATGTTAGTGAAAGAGAAATCTTGAATAAAATAAAAATATATTTTTCATTATGATAAAAAAGCACAGCATAATGCTGTGCCGAAAGTTAGCGTGAGCAATATGAATAAATTCAAGAAAAACTGAATATAAATGATGGAGATTGAAGATTGTATTCGATAAGTGGTGGTCAAAGGGATAGTTGAATTTCATTCAAAAACATTCAGTGGTTGGAATATTTCAATTTGTGGATTCAAGATTGCTTGATACGCAACTTCTATAACTATAGTTTTCCTTGGAGTAACTGAGAATGAATGAAAACCTCATCAGCGTCTTCTGCTTCGAGGTCAATAGGTTACCTCACATACTGAGAATACATTTAGAATTCCATACAATAGATATTTTGTAATTTCAAGCATAACAGTAATTCGGAATGGAACGGTTCTCGAATTTTGATTATTAAATCCTACATTATGTATGCTAAACTAAAAGAGCTACCTGTAACATAATATCACTACTGCTGATGACTGACATTACTATATTCTCATCTTAGAGCTCTTCGTTGCGAGATCCATTTTTATATACATTATCTATCGTTTCGAATTCCATGTCATATGCTCGCTACATATCTCAAACGTTTCGAGAAAGGAAATTTAATTTCACCCAAATTGCTTCTTCACGTTCAAATATAACTTATTCACGAATATTCTGTTAGGAACAGTTTCAAGTTTTCTATTTCCATTTTTATGCCCCAGTAGGTAATATAATCCTTATCACATTGTTTCTCCCTAATGGTGTATCAAATAAAAAATTATGCTGAAATTGTAGAAATAATAAAATGGAATGCAGACGACTCTTGGGTATTTCTGTAACTGAATGTTTACTTGAGGTGGCTAGAATTGGAGACTGAGAATGTTGACACAGTTATAGATAATCAGAAACGAAGTATGAATCTCATCATACAGGGTGTTTGTTTCACTTACGTATATATGGAGGAAGGTGGTAGGTTATGTGATTTTGTACATATTCAACTTTAAAAACTATCAAACAAAGTGTTACAATTTTCGAGAAATCATCACCTATATATAGATTAATCGAAGTTGGATTTTTCAGTAGATCGTTATTCAAATTATGACGATCCAGAACATTTTTTATCACATTTTCAGATCTCATTACGTGTTCGATATCGATGAGATACGTATTGAAATGTTCGACAAAACTTTTATCATAATTTATATGGACCTTCTCATCAAATTTGGTGGAATTCGAGAATAGTGCTTATATTAAAGTATAATAAATACTAATTCTTCTACGTTTATAACTGACGTCATAAACGCCAAATGTTTAGTCGCTGTAAAACGAGGTTGATTGGTCACGTGTGGGCTCCTGTATTGGTGGAGCAAGTCCAATGAGTTCAAGTGAACAAAAAATATTGCTGTAATACAGAAGACATCGTGTAGCTCAGCTATACGTAAAAAATCGTGTTTTGAAAAAAAAAAAATGTTGAACTCACCGTTTCCGCAAGTAAATAATTATTATATACGTTCGAAAAAATTTTCAGATAAGCTTGTCATTTCGAAACCCTCTATTGAAATCATATGCAAATTCACATACGGGGGTTTGAACCACAATGCACAATATCATGAGTTTAGTTTTCCTGTGAAAAAATCCTGATATGATTTCATATAAAATTGATCCTTTTATATTTCAATAGATTCGTGATTGACGAACTGATAATATTGATGATTATTCATAGTAGTACAAATTTGATACAACTCGCACGACTATTAATAGCTGAGATGTAGAGGTGGGCCGTTTGAAAAGAGACACGCTGTATAATCTTCAATGAAGAACATTTTTCCATCAAACTTGGTGAAGATTCATTTGAGAGGACGCCGATTCCAGGATCGTACGCAGAATAGAAAAATAGCTTGCATGGATTCAGGATTTTTCGGCCTCTGTATATGATCTAGTAGGCCTCGGTTTTAAAAGACAGTTGATGCCGCCTAGCTTAGAATCGAAGATAAAAAATGTCTTCGATTACTTGGATGAACAAGTGTTGGGATCCTCCATAAAGCCCCCTTTGAGCCATGGTCAATTTGCCCCTCATTATTGTAACAATGTAAATTGTACTATGTGATGATATGCTTCTGCTGATGATGGACTATTGATAGTCTGAAACTGATTATTCAGTTGATAAATTTGTGGCGATGACTTAGTGTGTCATGTGATGATATCTCCTTTTTTCACTTCCACAAATTGTCTTTACAATATGCTTCTGCTGATGATGGACTATTGATAGTCTGAAACTGATTATTCAGTTAATAAATTTGTGGAGATGACTTAGTGTGTCTTGTTTATCAACTATAAATGTTATTGAATGAAATGAAACTTTAATTCAAGTGAGCAAATATTTCAATCAAATCATTTTGTTTTTCTGTATAAGCCGCTTATTTGGAATGAACATATATGTTGTTCATTATTCCAAATTTTTTGGGATTTTCTCTCCTCGTTTCTATAAAATAAAAATATGAATATTATTTCGATATACGTGTAGTAAGGACAAATCAGATGATTTGCCCCAAAATGTCACTGCGTTTAAAGAATTTTCCTATCAGAGAGCCTAAAAGAAAAATTCACTAGCTTGTCAGTGACAATTTGTATTGAAAAATTTTTGGAGAAGAGAAATAAAGGTATATAGAAAAAATATCAAATTTTCACTTATCTTTGGACGTTTCGGGATCGATTCTGCTCCCGTTTTCAACATGAAGAGATTTTTTCAATTGCGAAGTCGTATTATATGTCTTGAAGCTTTTCAGTTTTCAATGACAATTGGTGACGTTGAAAACTGAAAAGCTTCAAGACATATAATACGACTTCGCAATTGAAAAAATCTCTTCATGTTGAAAACGGGAGCAGAATCGGTCCCGAAACGTCCAAAGATAAGTGAAAATTTGATATTTTTTCTATATACCTTTATTTCTCTTCTCCAAAAATTTTTCAATACAAATTGTCACTGACAAGCTAGTGAATTTTTCTTTTAGGCTCTCTGATAGAAAAATTCTTTAAACGCAGTGACATTTTGGGGCAAATCATCTGATTTGTTCTTACTACACGTATATATATTGAAATAATATTCATATTTTTATTTTATACAAACGAGGAGAGAAAATCCCAAAAGATTTGGAATAATGAATGTACCACCTCCTCGATTAACCTACAGACAGTATATATGTTGTTGATTTCGCGAAATTGTTATTGATTCAACAAAAAAATCCCAAAATGACTTTGTTGGTGTAACAAAATTTTGTTTCGTGTATATTCAAGTAGTTGAACGTTATTTCAATGTCATGAGATAGTTTCGTTGAATCGTTGAAAAGGAATATTCTCAGATAAATTATGAACATACAAAAATGGATATATATTTATATAAAGCAGATTCGTGATAGAGTCTCAATTCAGAATTTCTTTCCACGCCCTGTATAATGAATGTCACTTCATCATACATCCAAAAACACAAAATCGTTATTTGAAAAGAATTATCAAATAGCCTGTTCCTATTTCTATTGCTAAATTCCCGCATCTGGAGGAAAGGGTGAGACCAATTTCTTCCTCCTTCGAACATTCTGCCGACCACTACCACTATTTTAAAACCGCCAGGTTTCATTGCCGGATTCTGTATGAATAGCTGTTATCTCTCATTTCATACGGATCACTTTCCCTTCCTCCTGCAACGCCTCACCTGCTTCTTGCACCCCTTTGCCGCCTCTTCTGCCCGCCCCACGGCTGGCTCATTGATCGGAAATAATTCAATTGGCCTAATTAATTGCCTGATCGCGAGGCCACTTCCATAACAAACTTAACCTGTTCAGCATAAATTATATGGTTATCTTATGATTCGCTCCTCTGAATTTGGATTATATGCAATTTCACAAAATAGATTAGACTAACTTTGTTCGAGATCTGGTGCGCGACGGAA